TGCAATTGCAGATCCCTGAAGGGTTGAGAACGCAATAATATTCTAGCTGGGCAGTCTCCAAACTTTGTACACTATGCGATCATAGTCCTTATACTTGTGTGATCGCACAGTTTGGTCTCGAAATATTATTTTTTTTCATCAAACACTTTATGGATACCTTCTGTGGCACGAATTTGACCTAAATCTTGTCCTGTAGATATGTATCATCATCTACAAACAAGAGGAGAAACTAGTGAGCAAGGTTGGAGATCAAATCATTATTTCTTGTAAGCTTTGAAGAAGTTTTTGATACAAAGGCATTTTTCTACAGATGTTTGACCTGTTGCAAACAATGTAAGGGGCTTAGTAGGCTGGACCAATATGTAACAGCATTTTCAGTCAATGAAGCCATGACATCAATGGGACCATATTAGAAAAACCGAGCAAACTGAACATCAATCAGAGGAAATTTCCAAAATCCACATTGCCGTGTCTAATGGTGCAGATTATAGTTTCGATCATCTGTACGATAACTACAGGATGGAAATATCTATTCTGGGAGAAGGTGTAGTGAAACTTTTGTGTCTAACTAATAAGAAAGAGACATAAAATTTCATCATATTTCTTCAACTTTGAGTAAATTAATTTGTTACTTCAGATGGATTAAGATTTTAGATGAGAAGATTCAATATGATTTTTCTAATTTTGAATTTCGATCCTATCTATTTATGAAAAAATTGTGTACGTGTTTAAAAATGCATATTTGAATAACTTAAAGTGCGTTTGATTATCAATATTTTCCATAAAAAAGTTGTTTTTCCAAGAAAATTCATACTTTTGTGTTATTTGATGGATATTTTTTCTCATGAAAAATATTTTCTTACTTTTGGTCACTTGACCAAAACAAGGAAAATATTTTATTTAGGGAGAGTAAATTTTTATTTTCCAGATAATTCATTCTTTCTTTCTCTCTTGTCTACTCGCTTTCTCCCATCTACCTACCGATAAAAAATGGACAAGCATAACATTTTCTAAATTGAAAATAAAATCAATCAAACCCATTTAATTGACAATTATCATGCAAATAATTTATAGGCAATTCAATAGCCTAGAATTTATTTTTTTTCAATGTAAATTCCATGTTAGCAATCAAACATACCCTTAAATAAATGTGTGCCTTCATTGACAGGCATGTTCATACAACTCAAAAAATGTATACCTTCAATGAGAGATTAATTTCTTTGAATGCTTAGACAAATCTTCATATTTGTGAAAAAAGAAATCACGAAATTTTCTTCATCAGAAAGGAAGTGGAATTGAAATAAAAGCGATTTTATAAAACTACGATCCAAGCCTAAACTTAACGATGTGGAATTAGAACTATTACAACTCACGCATGCTTTGAGTACCAATCTGCAGTTGGTTCATATTCTCACTTGGGTAACTACACACGATCAGTTTTCTACTGAAAATAGTCATCTCTAGGTTGCCCTATCTGCAATGAGAGTCATTTCCAAGTGTATATAATGTAAAGACCAATTGTTACACTTTGGGGGCTCGATTGGTTATATAACTCACAAATTAGGATTAATTAGGGATATGGAACACAATCAGAACCAATACCCAAAAAAAATAAAATAAAAAATAAAACAAAGAGAGAGTACGAAAGATCGAAAAATCTCAGAATTGCCCAAAACCACCGAAAAAGTAGATAAGAATCAACGAGAATATTTTAAAAGTCCTGAATATTACTTACTATGTAACATCAAGAAAGTCAATTGCTCACGTCCAATTGTTCATGTTTCTCTAATCACCTTATATCCTATACTGATTCCTGAAATAATCTAAGGCTGAGTAGATATTAGAGAAAACAACACCCTGAAGACGATATTTTAAAATGAATATGCATGACACTTTTTAAATGATATGATTACCTCAATTTCATGGAATAGATATGATGTTCAAATCTATTGTCACCCATTTTTGAAATCTTTAGACATATTAGACCAAATGAATCTGTTATGCACTTGATCAGGAACCTTGTAGAAGATAAAATTTAAATAAAACTTGTAACAACATATCTTTTTAGATTAGATGAGATGGTTAAAAATATATGTCTGAATATGATTATTCAAAATCAACAAAGCAATCTAAATTTCAGCTAATAATTGCACCAACCTTTGAATCCGAAGATAGATTGAACAATCTCAACAACAAAAAAGGGCGCTGAGAGGGAAAATTTAAAGGCAACATTTATGCCTAACTACTTGAGTAAGAATGTAAGATGTCAAGAGACAAGTTGTCGTTGTCGTTGTCATTGTGATGGAGTTTTACAAACTCGTTAATCTTCATCCTTCTGATAATTTCACACAAATAGGCTAGAGTTTTGCGATTTGATTTGGAATGGTATATAAACCAAATTGTAAGGGTTAAAACTAAAAAGACACCATTTTTATAGTATTATGAAATAAATTAACAACTCTAAACTCAAGTACAATCTCAACGAGTCACTTAAATTGTTCGATTGAAATTCTGACTTCTTGATCATACATACTTTATCATCTGACTACAAGGATCTTGATACCCTATACAAGTAGGCTTGCATGAGATGCTAAACAAATACTTCGACAAAAACTAAAAGGCCGTAAGAATCTCCACCATTAATTAGGTTATGAAAATTATGAGGCAAATCCATTACACAGGATGTTAAGGATCCAGCATAGCATTCATACCTAGACTCTGCATATCAACAAAAGACACGAGATTACCTTGCGATGATGGACCAAACAAATTAAATGGGCCTATTATTTTCAAAAATTATATATTTTTTTCAACTTCATATTTTTTTATAAAGTAATATGTATATTTAAAATTTTCTTATTTTTTAATCATACATTCTCAATTAAAATATCATTTGAATAGAAAAAAAGGGGCTCAAACATAGTCATAAAATTTTTTGTTTAATGGATTGAATTGGAGCATAAAATAATTATTTTTTTTAAATGCAGACTTTTACCTAGTATAGCGCAAGAATTGGGGGTTGGGTCGAGCTTGTACCCAACTTGACATGATTAAACCATGATAAATCGAGATTTGACGACATAATTCAAGGAAAGTTGAACAGGTGTTAGAAGTGTGTTCGATTGATCCAAGTCCTTTTAGGTTTGAAACTCGACACCATTCAAACCAACCAATCTTAGGTGGGTTGGATTTTGACTTTTAAATATTAAAAAAATAATTATGTGTGCTCCCCATATTCTCATCGTCACCCTCGAAATCAAGTAGCCAGTCACAAGCCTCTCTACATCTAATAAACAATCTGACATTAAGAGGAGGGTATTTGAGCTCCATCCCCACCTTTCTTTTTTTTTTTTCTTTTTTTTTGAAAAAAATGCATTTGGATGAAAATAAGGATTTTTTTTTTATTTGCATGTAATATTATTTTAATGGAGAATGTGAAGTTGAAAAGAAGAATGAGAAAAATGTATTTTAAAAAAAATAGGTATAAAAAAGCGCCTAAAAGACATGATGACTAGCATAGAAAGTGGAACAGGTGTTAGAAGTACGTTCGATTGATCCAAATCCTTTTAGGATTGAAACTCAACACCATTCAAACCAACCAATCTTAGGTGGGTTGGATTTTGACTTTCAAATATTAAAAAAATAATTACGTGCGCTCTCCATATTCTCATCGTCACCCTTGAAATCAAGTAGCCAGTCACAAGCCTCTCTACATCATAATAAACAATCTGACATAAAGAGGGCGTTTGAGCTCCATCTTTATTTTTTTCGTTTTTGAAAAAATGCATGTTAGAATAATAGATCGGTGGGAATATGTGGTTGAAAAATAAGGAAAAGCTTTTGAATTGTGTGTAATATTAATTTAATGGAGAATGCAAAGTTGAAAAGAAGAAAGATAAAAATGTATTTTGAAAAAAAATGGATATCAAACAAAGCCTAAAAGACAAGATGACTAGAATCGGAAGGTACTTGATTGTAGAGACACTACGGGAAAATGATGATGCATCCCATTCACTGCATTGACCAATGAACTTTGAAAAGACTCAACGACAGTGGAGGACCATCGACCTCTTGGATGATGGCAGTACTTTTTTTGATATTTGACAAGGAGGAGTTATAAGTAAAGGTGATTGTCCTATCTAGGCGTACAATTTACCTATGTTTTTCTTTTTAAAATTTGTACACGATTTGATAATTTCAAGTGGTTTTAATAATTGAATTTAAATTGAACTATTTCAAAACAGTTTGATTTCGGTAGGACATCTCCAAAGGAGACACTAAAATATCAAAATGCATCAAATTTTGGTGCAAAATGCCTCCAATTTAGCACCAAACTGCACAATTTTGGTGCAAAATGGTGCAAAGTTAATTTTACCCTTTGTTTTCATTTCCCGAACAAATTGATTAAGGGCATTTGTGTCATTTGCGTTATATAATTTTGAATATAATAAATTATTATTATGATGTTCTTTTAAAATAAATTTTAATAATATAAAAAATTATTTTAATAAATAATTAAAATAAGAATAGAAAAATTTTAAAATATAACAAACACAATTATTTAAAAATTTTTGTAGTGTTTCGATTAATTGTACTATATTTTTTTATATTTATTAATCAATTTAATAT